TCTTAACTGACTCCCCTATACATTTCTTTTTAAAAGGCTGAAATCAATCATTTTGAAAAAATTAATTCTTCTTTTAGGTAAAAGACTAAACCTTTCCATATTTAACACAAAAGGAAAAATTAATGCTCCTCTGGTAAGTAGAAATCAAGTTTCTTAAAATATTACTTACAACAAAATTTTAGAACACAATTATCGTTTTTAGTACTGGAGATAGGTTCTTGCAAATGGGAACACTAACTAAATGAGTGCTGTTCAGAGTCATTACAGCATAATCTCTTTGAACATGCTTTCCAGACAGTGTATATTATGTATGATCAACATATAACTAATATGCAATTAGAAGCTATTGCCTGATGTCTTTATCTTCTCTGCCTTCTTTAGAATTTGTCTAATAGTGGATTTTGCTAGGCCTGGAACATGTCCCGCTTGGATCCACCTGATGTTTGCCTACTTAAAATCTGCATTTTTTTTAGTCAGATGTACTTCAATCTTCAAAGTAACTCCTTGTTTGGCTATACAAGCTATTTTCTCTGAAGCAGACCATAATCTGAAAATAGAATGTCAGTGGCAAAAAGATCGCCACAGAGTGAACAAAACAAACCTATTGGCAAGTGCCTCTCAAATACCCACAGCATATGATGATGATAAACCCACTGGCCAAGAAAGAAAAAGAAAAAACAGGGTTCACTTGATAGTGTTTGACATGTCAGTGCCTTAATAACTTGGAAAAAGAAAATTCTTTGACTCACCCATGCTTAGGAATTACTATTTGACAGAAAATCCACATAAAAAAGATGCTACCATTTGGATAGTGTTAATTTATAGTATTTGTATATACACACAGATGTTCTTGAATTTCATCGTTTTTTTATTATGCTGTATTAGTTATGTTTTATGACTTGATTTTTAGTTTTGTTTGTAAAGATTCTTCCTGCTTATTAGAAATATTAATAATAATACTTGCTTGGTAGAAATTACAAAATTACAGAGCTCTGTTCAGTTTCATCCAGAGACAAACTTTGAAGACTACAGATTGCTTTAAAGAAAGTTCAACTCTTAACAAAATAGCTTTAAAATACAGAGTTGCTCTCTGATTATCCATATTCATCTTCTTTAGGTTTAGTTATCAAATTTCATAAAGCAATTGGCCACAGAGTCACAATTTTCAGTAGCTTGAGCTAACACCAAAACTAAAATCTAAGAAATAATCTTTTATCAAAATACTAACTTCTCAAATATCTCCCCCGCAAAATGTTTTGTAAACTGTCAAGTATTATCAAGATTATCTTAAACAGAATCAAACATTAACTAAATGAGGAGGTTCTCTTGGATGTCACAAAATAAAAACACTTCTGCATCACCCACTATTAAATCGATGCCATTTGAAAATACAAAATATCTTTAATATTTCATTTATGAAAACTTAAAAGCAACAGACTTCCATATGGATAAGAAGATACATCATAACAATTTTGATGTTCCTTTCAGCTACTTAATAATAAGTGCTAACTGTGTCAAAAAAAGTCTATTTAACTTAAGAGACTTTAGACAGAAATGAGGCATTCTTAATGATACAGAACCAGACAACAAAATAATGAGGATGCTGAAGAGGGTAAGTCCAGGCAAGCTTTAAAAACGGAAATCATCCATCTTTGAAAATTAGACATTTGCAGGCCTGAGGACCAAAGTAAGACTTTACTGTGGATCTTTCCAGTTCGCATTCTAGCATTTTGGCATAAAATGAGGATAGGTCATGAAACCTATGGATATTTTCAAGTTCAGTTTTTTAGAAATATGTAATACTTGAACTAATCACAGAATAATGTATGGCTTATAATTACATTGTCAGTTTAAGTAATAGAAAAAAAATACATGTTTGTTTTGTGGTGACTATTTATTTTGGTGACAGTTTTATTTTCCTCTTCATATTTTCGGTGACTGTTTCCCACTGGTATCATCGACCAGGTCTCTCAGGCGAGATAAATGGTGCAAAGCCCTTCATTAAAAAGTATAAAACACATTATAAACCAATATTAAGGACTGAATAGCCAATGCAGACAGCAAGAAATGGTGATTACATTGTTTATTAACTTCAAAATTAATGAGAAATAAATATATAGAATAATATAAATATAAAACTTTGAAAATTGTTCCTTATAAAACCTTGAGATCTGAATAAATGAAGGTTAAAATAATTTAAAGTTCTGTGAACATTTACTTAAAAAATTATATTTTTGACATTCAATTTTTTTAAACTTAATCTGCCAAGTAGCTTAATAAGAAACAATAATAGGTATCATTTATATCACACTTGTGAACATTTACTTAAAAAATTATATTTTTGACATTCAATTTTTTTAAACTTAATCTGCCAACTAGCTTAATAAGAAACAATAATAGGTATCATTTATATCACACTGTACAAAACTTTATTTCACGTAATTTTCACCACAGTTCTGCAAAATGATACTTTTATTTTGGTATGCTGTGTACATCATTTAAGAAATAAAGTACATAATTCATTTTTAACATTTATACCACTCCAGATAGCTAAAATTTTTTTTAAAAAAATTTTTTAAAGCATTTAAGAATCAGTTACATTTCTAAGGAAAACTCATTTTTACTGAGTATGGAGGAAACCAATGACTTCTACAATAAGACTGAATAATGTGGAATTATTCCAATATCCTGAATTTTTCTCTAAAATAAAGCCAAGATTATATATCAAGTTTCAGTGGAGAAAATTCAATCATTCCTCAAACAAACCAAGAAGACAGAGTCCCTTAACTTTCCGGGCTTCCTCTAAAAATATTCTTTCAGTTTTTCTCTCCTCTATCTTTCAGCTCCTTAAAGACCTCTCAGAAAATGTTAATCAGTCACATTCTTTGATCTCAGTGGAGAAAATTCAATCATTCCTCAAACAAACCAAGAAGACAGAGTCCCTTAACTTTCCAGGCTTCCTCTAAAAATATTCTTTCAGTTTTTCTCTCCTCTATCTTTCAGCTCCTTAAAGACCTCTCAGAAAATGTTAATCAGTCACATTCTTTGATAAATGAGAGAGATACTAAGAAAAACAGAGAGACAACAATCAGGATGCACAGTAATCTCTAATGTTAGTAATTTCCATTTCTATGGTGAGTTGAAAGATAGTGACCAGAACACCCTATTCTACAGTCTCTAACATGTAGTAGAGGCTCAATAAATGTATGTTAAATAAAATACATCTTCCACTTTACCAGGACAAGGAGATGGGAGGAAACTAGTAGTGTTAATTATTGCATTTCTATCTATTTCCCTGTACTCTGCATTTCTTGGACACTTTTACTCAACTGTAATGAGAGAAGACTCAGGATTCTTTCACCTTTTTTGGCAACTTTAGTTAATTCTTGAGATTCTCACCTTCATTAACTAAATGACAATAACTCACCCAAGGTTACTAAGCAATTAAGAGATAAAATAACTAAAATTTTTTAAAGACTCCATCATTTCTACATCCTATAGTAATATCTCTCTACCTGAAGAATTATTTTCCTCCTAAAGACACACATTAATGAGAAAAAAGATAACTTATAAATATACTTGGGACTTATTTCCCTTTTTTTTCAGGCTGGTTATTTATCTGTGATTCAAAAGAAGGAAAAAGGCAAGTGAACAGAGTCCTACCTTATTTGTTACAACCCCAAGAGAAGGGGTTGTAAACCTGAGAGCCACAGATCCCTTGGATTTAGAAGGTCTGTGAAATTAGATGGGGGAGAGGGGGGTCATCTTTATTTTCACCAAATGCTATCTGTAAGTGAGCATTTCCTTCCATTATGAATACAAGCAACAGAACAATATCTGTGACCTTGTACCCCATAGAATTCACAGATATTTTTACACCACATTGTAGTCACTGCAGGTATCTCGAATATCTTTTATATTCATCACTACTTCGAAATTACAATAGTGACTAGCAGTTATAATACTACAAGAGTTATTAAACCCACTGCTGGAACATATGTTATCTAAACCTGTCTACAAAAGTCCATGTGATATAACCGGCCAACTATTAGACAACTGTACACCCAGCTGTTCATCCACCAAATAATGAGGTCTCCCTAGTGACCCAGAGGTCAATGCTTTCCAAGAGTCCATTTCTCTAACTTTTGACCATGTAGAAGGAGGTAAGTAAAAGACAACTCCATGGGTTAATGTTTTTATTCAAGCTATACAAAAAGCTTCCCTCCATACTAAGTTTTTACAAAATGAATTTTAACTTACCTGTATTTTAAATGTATTGTCCTATTTTAAATGTGTTAATAAACACATATTACCATATCAAAAATTTGTTTTAATATCATGGCTATAATTCAGTATAATTGATTTCCTTTCTATGCCTGTGTAGGTTATTTTATGCCTCTACAAAACAATGGCCAGGAGAAGGGATGGGAGAGAACAGGAGGAAAGGGGAGGAGAGGTACATGTTATGATGGGAAGGAACAGAAAAGCTAAGCAGAAATGTGAAATTTTTAGTCCCCTTACCCTGGCTACACAGTCAGCTGCTGGTTCCTTCCTTTACTTGGCCTCTATCTGCCTGCTGAGACTAAGACAACTCAATCTACGTAAAGATCAGAAAGTGATTGCTATTTCACAGGCATGTGTAAGAAGTAGTGTAGAATAAAATGATGGAAGGAAATTATTTTTTATTTTCTTCTCTAAAAAAGTAAAAAAAGTAAAAAAAAAAGTAGGCTAATGGAGTAAACAGCAATTTAAGGGTGATGGTTACAACACTGAGTAGTCATTCACCTTAAAAACTGAAGTAAAAGAAACTCATTTCTTATAATAATGTATCAACTGATGAGCATTAAGTAAATACAAATCAATCTACAGAAACTCAGTAACAGAATAATTACATGAAGGCAGTTTATCTATATTTTCATTTACTTACAGATATCTTGCCTTTGGTCTCCTCTTAGTACTAACCACTAACTTTCTCTTAAATACTTTCTACTGGCCTATATTCAGCAAGAACTGAATGAAAGGCTTTTCAGAACTGCCCACCATTCCCTAAATCTAAGCAAAGTATGAGTACATTAGCATAAAAAAATACCTTTCCTTTAAGATCATGTTTTGCAAGTCTGAGAGGCAATTCTGTCTATCTCTAGTATGGAATGAAGAACAGAAAATCTAACAGGAAAAGTGAAGTAGGAAACTGGACAACTTTCTGGCTATCATTAAGTTTGGTCTTCAAAGCATGACCCTTAGTAATGAGAATTACAAAACCTTATACATTCATTTCCAAATTATATATAAAACAACAAATTCCAAAGCCAAATACAAATGACTTTTGAATGACTGATGACTTTGCAGCACTCTGCTATTGCTCACCTTTAGAGTATCTGAGCAATGCTTACTGCTCATTCTTTACCTCCTGCCTGTGCAGAGTAGCTGGTTGTCTACGTGACATAATAAATGATTTAGGAAAGCCCCTTGCTCAAAAACTACAATTCTTTCATTTGCTTAAAGATGACAAATGTCTTATGGAAGTTTCATTTAATACATTTTCACTGAATTCCTAATATATGAATGTATAAGAAAAAGCTAAGTATTATAGGGATACAAAACTATTACAATTTAGATTCCAACCAAAGAGAAATCCTTCTGGAAAAAATAATATTTTAAGCTGCTGTCAACCACTTATACTTCACTTCCAATGAGTCTTCCTAGGGAGCAGACATTTCTAATAGGAGAACATAAGAGAACTGAGTGTCTGAGGGAGTAAACAGAACCCAAACTAAGAGCTTACAGTTCCCTAGTTAATGAAAGATATCTTAAAACTAGCTAGCCATCCAAATCGCTTAAAAAAAACAACTGTTATTTGAGGAATGGGAAGACACTGAGATAGGAGGTGCTCAATTTCCCTGGGTTAGGATTTTTGGACACTCTCCTGAGTCTCAAACCACTCCCTTAGGATTCAAGCCCCTCCTCTAAGTCCTGAGTTACTGTTGCTTGTTGCATCTATTTTTTGGCACCAACACTGGGAGATTGAGACCACAAGAGGCAGACTTACATAATTCCAGTGGCCAAGCATACTCAGTAGAAAAGAGTTTATCCTTGAATGAACTTCCACTGGAGGCACTAGAGAGCACCAAATATATTTTAAATAATTTTCAGTGTATATGTTGGAATTTGACCAATGAGCATGCTCCACAGAGAACAACAGAGCATGCATAAAGCTAGGTTACATAACCAGTTACATAACTGGGAAACACTCCCTTAATTAAATATTCACTAGATAGCATGAATATGTACAGAACAGCCAACTACAAAGGTAGAATCCAGAAAGAAGGCAGGGCTGCTGCTCACTCTCAAGCCAGCCTGCACTTTGTGAAGTGTGTATTTCTTTCTCTTTGCATTAAACCTGTTTTTGCTTTCTACTCTTGAATTCTTTCCTGTGGCGGAGTCAAGAACCTGTTAGAGCCCCACAAGTCCCGCCCGACACCCAGCACAATCAGCCTGGCAGCTGCTCCCTACAACCTAGGCCTCTTGTCCTCTGATGAGCATCTGGGGTAGCGGGCCTTCGGTACGGGTCAAGGCCACCCACTAGGCAGACATAATCTGCCTATGAGGCTGACCCACCCCAGCAGACAGCCAGAACCTCTAGAGCCTCTTTACTTAGATCTGGCACGTAGTGGGACCTAGTAAAGGTGAAAGGAAAGGAAGCAGGGGTGGTGTGGGCCTGACACTCAAGTGTGCCCTAAATATTTGGTCATTGTTGGATATCAGGACATTCACTCAAGCTTGGAAGTACGGGGCACTCTGACATGTTGCCTCTGGAGTAATAAAGGGACTCACCACCAATGGAGATGGAGGAATGGCAACCGGTGCTTTGCAGGGGTAGACTTAGAGATCTCTTAGAGTTACTGCAGAAGCTATGACTATGGAGGGTGAGAACTCGGAGAGGCGCACAGAAGGCCAGGAGAGTGACCCACAGGACCTTCGAAGAACTTGGTCCCTGGAAAGAGGGTCTGCAGCATTAAGGTCAAGGTGTGGGAACACGGAGGCCCTGGTGACTGGCAGTGAACACCCACTGCCAACCCTGGAGAAATTCCTTTTGAAGAACAAGAAAGAGATGCCTATTCACGAGAGGGCTGGAACTAGCATTCACCTGGGGCCTGGTGTGCACCAGGCACTGAGCTGAGTCGAGCACTTAGATCTCCTGTGGTACCTCCCACTGGGTGAACCCAACAGAAAGCCCAAAAGCAACTGAGCCCAGATGATGCTGTCCTTCAAGATCAGCCTCTGGTGGTAAGCATGCACACCCGCAGCCAGCCCAGCGACAACCACCAAACTGCTGCAGGAAGCGCCCCAGGGCTCTCTCAAACCAGGGTGGTGGGGGACTGAGGGCCTCGGCCATGGCCCCCTGACATGCAGCCAGCCCAGCAATGACCACTGAGCAACCACAGGAAGTGCCCCAGGCTCTCCTGAGCCAGGGAGGTGAGGGGCCGAGGACCTCGGCCATGCCCCCCCAAAACCACTGAGCTGCTGCAGGAAGCACCCTGGGCCTTCCTGAACCAGGGCAGTGGGGGACTGAGGGCCTCAGCCACACACCCCCGACACCCACAACCAGCCCAGTGGCAACCACCAAGCCGCCACAGGAAGCACCCCAGGCTCCCCCAAGCTGGGGCAGTGGGGAGCCAAAGACCTCAGCTATGCCCCCTAGCATGTGCAGCCAGCCCAGCAGCAACCAAGCCAAGGCAGGAAGCACCCAGGCTCTTCTGAGCTTGGTGGTGGGTGGGGCCGAGGGCTGTGGCCATGCGCCCCCCCCTCCCCCCGACACGCACAGCCAACCCAACGATGACCACCGAGCCACCACAGGAAGCACCCCGGGCTCTCCTGAGCTGGGACGGTGGGAGGCCAAGAGCCTCAGCTGCACCACCCCAACATGTGCAACCAGCCCAGTGACAACCACCAAGCCACATCAAGCAGGGCCCTGAGTTCTCGAGCTGGGGTGGTGGGAGACAAGGGCTTTTGCCACACCCCACTGACATTTGCACCCAGCCCAGCAATTACCAAGCCACTGCTGAAAGCTCCCTGGTCTCCCCTGTGGGAATGAGGGGGGTGCCAAAGGCCTCAATCCCGCCCCTCCTCCTTCCTCCTTCTTCCATCACATTTCCTTCCCCTTTCCTCTCTCTCCCTCCCTCCCAACTGCTCCGCAACAACATCCTAGAATATAAAAAAGTAAAATTAATAAAATTAAAAAGTAATTAAAAAAAAAAAAAAAAAAGTAAAAGAAAGATCCTGGTAGAAGACAGAGTTGAGGTCCAGCATCCAACCTCCCCAGACTCCTCCAGTACCAATGTAACAGTGTTTTCTCCTTAGAAAAGGTCATTAAAGCAAAGTACAACCTGTAACTTTTGAAGAAGCTATTCTATTTATTTTAAAATATGAAAAGATGGCAATATACCTAACCAGAACATTTTGCAGCCTATAAAGAATTCAGACCTAATAAGTTTTCAACTGTCCTTAAAAAGGTTAATCTACAGACTGAAAAAAATGTACTAATATGCTTTTGTAAGTCTAAACTTATTTACAAAAATACAAATGCCTTGCTGATATTATTGTTGAAATGTAAAGTAAAAGACTAATTAAGGGGCCAGCCCAGTGGCGCACTGCTACAGTGCGCTGCTTGGGAGCACGGTGGCGCTCCCGCCGAGGGTTCGGATCCCACGTACAGACCGGCCGCTCACTGGCTGAGCGAGGTGCGGGCGCAACACCGAGGGTTGCGATCCCGTTGCCGGTCCCGGTCCGGTACGGGCGCGACACTGAAGGTTGCGATCCGTTGCCGGTCACAAAAAAAGACAAAAAAAAAAAAAAAGACTAATTAAGATTGGTCCAGCTAATCCAACAGAATGAACAACTAAAAGCCATCTAACAAAACATGAATATTGCTCTCCCTAAAAATGAAATTCATTACTTAGGCAAGACCACTTATTGTTTATGGTAGAAATAAAATTACTATTATTTTTTAAAATTCTAGCAAATGATAAAAGCACCTATGGATCAATATCAATTTTTGTGGTGATTTAATTAGTTGTAGCCCAATGTTCATTTTCAAGAAAAATATCTTCTAGGGTACGTACTTTAACTCAGAAAACACATTTAGGTCTGCAACACAAGTTGAATACCAATGCATTTAAGAGCAATGGGAAGCCTGAGGTCATCCACCTTAAATTTTAAAGCATAATGAGGTCTTTATCCTAGATGATCAACTGAAGCCCTGCACACAGTTTCAGCAATTGTCACTAATGAGCAATTCAGCATTGTCACTAATGAGAAGAGTGTTAGAAACACAGGCTTTCAAACCAGATTGCCTAGTTTGAGTCCTGCTGCTACCTCTTACTAGCAGTGTAACACTGAGAAAGTTACTTTACTACTTTATGCCTATTCCCTGTTATTTTATGAAGATAATAATAGCACTTATATCATAGGGTTATGAAGATTACATGAATTATATTCAATAGCACTTAGAATACTGATACTTGGTATATTCAATAAATATTAGTTAATAATTATCATTATTCATTTAATTCTTGTAGGTATGAACACTATACCCACATACTATGGCAAGCTACAAAGAGGCATTTTTCCTACCCTAAAGATTATAAATTAAGTAGAGAAAAAAAGATATCATCATACATCACATATTTTCAACTATGACAACTATATATATGTATATATATTTATGATAGTCATAAGTTTATACATCTAGTGTTTTACTTTTCCACCACTTCCTTAGATAACAGAATCCTAAGCAAATTCTGAAAGTACAAATGGTAGAGAATATTTGTTTAGCTCACTTCTAGTGAAGTAAAATAGTATTACTAGAGTAAAAATTTTTATCTTAGTATTTCCTAAGCTCAGTATTCCAATCTTCTGGCGCACTTTGTATTCACACAACCATACCCATAAATAAATACTCCTCTTCTGCCAATATCATGACTATAGGAAAGACTTGTATTCTCCACTTTTTTTACTGAACACAATGTAAATAAGAAAATTAGACCTATCATTATACACAGGACATTTTAACTACTTTAGGTTTTTGTGGAGCTGTGTTACATAATGATGCATTTATGATTATTATATTTATTCCAGAGGGAATATATAAAAACACATTTCATAACAAATTGTTACAGAATATGCACATCAATATTGACTATCTCAAATTGTTGCTGTTTCTCAGAAATGAAAAGAGAATCTCTGAGCCATTCACATCCATTTTATTTTAGATATCTAAGGGTATTTCATTAGCTCCTTAGAAAATTTAAAACAGGAAATAGCACAGGTGTAAGAGAAAACAATACAATGTTTTTCTTAAAGATTAAACGATGTACTCCCCAAGTTTAAATATGCTTAGCATATCTACTCTTGGAACTACTTAATTCTACCCTGTAACTTTCTGATCTCAGTCAAAGAAATGGCTAAATAGATTTGTATCATCTATGTTAGTAAAGAATACTTACTTTTGAAGTGACCTAGTAATAGGAATCATACTTTCCTTCAACTGTAATTCAGAGAAATCACCTTCTGAAACCTATTATTAAAAACACCAAATATAACAAAATATTGAAAATGTTATATAATTATAAAATTAAATGCTATTTACATGATTATGAACATAAAAAAATATTTTCTGCATTTCTAAAGAATTCTAGCAAATAATTTTCAAAAGAACATTATTTTTATTTTCCCTTTATTCTAAAAATATTACAACTACTACTTAGAGTTACCTATCAATTATCCTAAAGTATGTTTCTAAATGTATGTCCATTAAAAATAAATCTTGGCTTGAAATTATGACTTTATTGAAAAAAGTTATGCCTCAATGTTTAAAAGGGGAGGGAAAAGAAGGATAGATATGATTATTAGAATGTAAGGAGAAAAATTAAGAAATACAACTCAAATGAGCATGCTGTGGTAGTTCTCAAGAGCTAATCCACTCATCTGTAATGAAAACTGAATTTCATAAAGCTCTAACAATAAGAAAATAAACAAAGACAGTAAGAGCTATTATTTACCAAGTGCCAAGCACCATACTGAGTACTATTATCTGTCTCATTTCATCTTCTCAACAACCTCATTTTGCAGAAAAGGAAACTGATAAGCAAAATAGGCCAGGCACAGAAAGAAAAATACCACATCTCACTTATATGTGAAATCTAAAAAGTCTAACTCACAGAAGCAGAGTGGAATGGTGTTTAACAAGAACTGGGGCAAAGCAGGGTTGGAAGGCAGGGGAGATGTTGGTCAAAGGATACAAAATTTCAGTTAGACAGTAGGAGAGATCTGTTTAAGAGATGTGTTGTACAACATGTTCACTGTAGTTAATAACAATATACTTGAAATCCACTAAGATAGATTTTAAGTGTTCTCACCACAAAAAATAACTATGTGAGGTAATCCATGTCAATTAGCTCGATTTAGCCATTTCACAATGTTTGCATATTTCAAAATATCATGTTGTACATCAAAAAATATACACAATTCTTAAAAAACAAATTAATAAATTTTTAAAAAGAAAGCAAAACAAACTAAAGACGTTAAGTGATTTATACAAATGTTGCACTTGCTAGTAAGAAGTGGAATTCACAGACTTGAAAGAATATAAATTCTAGGCTCTTAAACACTATACTTTTGTGAAGAAAATCTATCTTTTATAAAATAGCAGCCCTAAGTAGAAACAGATTTTCAAATTCCTAGAAAACACACAAATTAAAAAAACACGGTCCTAAAATAAAACTTTACATAACTATATTCACAACAAGAACATATGGTAACAAAATTAAATTTCAGATGACAAAGGTGTGTGGAGCAGTCAAATGTTGAAAAGGTGTTTTATGCCTCCCCAAATATAACTACAAGAAGCTAGGCCATACTGATTAATTTTGTAGGGCATTAAAAACAATTCTTACAACCCTTTCATACTATAGTTGTAACCTCATTAAATCTAAATAAGATGTTGGATTTATAAACCAAATAGAATAACCTGTTCAGAGATAAACAACTAAAAAGGATACAGGAAGGCATCTTTATATAAATTCACAGATCTCAATTCATAAATCAAGTTTGTGCTTACTTGCTTAATCTCTTCTTTTGGCTCTGAGGTTTTATTGTGACTAAAACTTTCTTGTACTGCTTGAAGATTAAATAACATTTGTTTCAGGGCTTCAACAGGACCATGATGTTTGCCTCCAGAAAGGGTACAGGTCTAATATTAAAACAGATGACAGTATAAGATTAACCATTCAAATTTAGGGGGAAAAGTTTTATTTTCTATTATTTTCCCCCAATATAAAATTAATGAAAAATCCAAACAATACATGTCAATAAAGTGTTTTAAAAACTGAAATTACAACTCACCACTTCCCCATATTCAGTCCCCAGATGAAATTATTTAGAAACAATCATAATTAAAGAGTTTGGCCCATGCTTTCCAGTCCTTGCTCTTTTAAAATGAATAGTACATGTTTACATTTACAACAAATTCATTTAGTACATTTAAAAATCACAGAGTTTTAGAAATGAAAAGGTCCCTCAGAGATCAGGTAAGCCAACGTGCTCTTTTCAGGTATGTAAATAAAGCTGATTATCAGCTGAGTGAGAAATAAAATTTCAAATAAAGTATTCTCTGCACACTTTTATATGTTTTCATAGAAAGAATGCTGGTGTTTCACCTCTACATGAGCCACATATTCCTTGCTACCTAAATAACACTCATACCTCAATTATTACTGACCTTACCTGGTCCAGAGAAGGCAACAGCACTTAAACACATAAGGTAGTCAGGTTTCTCTTAAGATAATCTGTAAGGGATATTTTAAAACTTCTTTTTGGGGCCGAGCCCGTGGCGCACTCGGGACAGTGCGGAGCTGGGAGCGCAGCAGCACTCCCGCCGCGGGTTCGGATCCTATATAGGGATGACCGGTGCGCTCACAGCGCTCACTGGCTGAGTGCAGTGCGGCTGGTCTCAAAAAGGACAAAAAAAAAAAAACAAGAAAAACTTCTTTTTGAAAGTCTTGCTATCTATTATTTTACAGCTTTCCAATCAGTTGTTGTGTCCTGATAGCTACCCACAAAGCGGTGTAGAAAGCAGATTCAAGAAAATAATGACAGAAAATTACAATTTTGATGTATGCTACAATATGGAAGAACCTTGAAGACATAATGCTGAGTGAAGTAAGCCAGTCAAAATGGGACAAATATTTTATGATTCTTATACAAGCATATTTCAAAAAGTTCATTGAAAAACTGAAGTAAAAAATAATACTAATCCTTCCATGAACTTTTTGAAGATCCCTCATACCAGGCTCCTAGAGTAGCAAATTCATAGTGAAAGAAAGTAGAATGCTGTTTGCCACAGGATGAGGGAGGAACAAATGGGGAGTTGGTGTTTAATGGATACAGTTCTGAATATGGATGATGGTGATGGCCACACATAATGTAAGGGTACTTAATGCCACAGAACTGTATCTACTTAAAAACAGTTAAAATGGTAAATTTTATGTTATGTATATTTTACCACAATAAAATGAAAGTTTTTAAAAAGAGAGACAGTGATGTCACCAAGATGGCAGAATAGACAATTCCCAGCATCACTCTCCATTACAACCAATCAATTCACAACTACTAAAAAGCAAAGTCTGCCATCCTGGGAGCAATGGAGCTCAGGGGAAGAGGAGTACAGACCCACAGAGTTCGTGAAGGCATGAGAAGCTGCGGCAATAGGGAGTAGGGACTGCTCAGACTGGATCAAGCCCCTGCTGCTTCTGGCGTAGTGTGGGGCAAGAAGTTGCTACATACCAAGAAGCTTCCAGAAGCTAGAAAAGCCACAGCCACACCCTTTGCGTGATGCTGCTTAGAGTATGCTGTGGAGAAGAGGGCCTGAGAGCGTACCATACCAGCCCCCAGGACAACACAGCCACAGGCAGAGTTCCTCTGGTCCCACATAGGAGCAAGGAGCCATAGCCAACCAGAGAAAAAAGCCACCCAGAGGTCAGCAAGTCATTGTGAGGGGTCGTGCACGGCCTGAACCATGGGAAGTGTTTGAAGAAAGAAGAGGAGACTGGCCCACTGGGGGAACATTGTGGCACAGTGTGGGCAGCTAATGTACCTTCTAATTGGCATGAGAGCCACTCAGTAGAGACCGGTCAGGGTGATAGAACTTGCAGGGGGCAAAGTTAGCAGGAAAAACTCAATCCCAAGCCAGTATTTCCACAAAGCCCAGTCGTATCTGTAGAGACCCTGAAGTGATTGAAACAGCGACAAGTAAAATCCAATCTCCCCAAAAAGTCTTCCCCAAAGAATCAGCAGCAAAGCAGCAATTTAGTTCTAGCACGGAGCTCAACTTCTGGTGCCCACAGGAAGTTACTCCAATTCTGGAATTAACCAAAGGACAGCATATTAGTTCCAGAGAAGAGTTTAAGTGATAGTGGTAGTCAATAATTCACTTCAGAAAGAAAAAAAGTGCAGGTAAGAGACAAAGCTCTGAAATTAACCAGTGAAGGTCTACCACCACCAAAGAACACTTATAAAACCTGGAAGAGGCAGCAGTCTCCTCAAATGCCCAGGCATCAACACAAAGATACAAAGATCAAGAAAGAAAAGAAAAATATGTCACCACCAAAGGAAACCAACAAAGCACCAGTAACAGACCTAGAGGAATAGCAGATTTATAAAATATCTGACAGAGAATTCAGGATAATTCAGAATTCTTAAGTATATTCACAAAGTCACAAGAAAATACAGATAGAAAATTAAATGATATCTGGAAAACAATTCAGCAAGAGAATGAGAAAATTGACAAAGGAACAGAATCAATTTAAAAAACACAAATATAAATTCTTCGAATAAAGAATACATTATCTAAACTGAAAAACTTGACAGCAAGCTCTAGCGGCAGACCTAATCAAACAGAGGAAAGAATCAGTGAGCTCAAAGATAAAACATATGAAATTATCTAATCAAAAGAGCAAAAAAAACACAAAAAAGAATTTAAAATTAAACAGAAAAACATGAATTATGGGACTCCCTCAAACGAAATAAGCTCCACATAACCAACATGCCAGGAGAGAAAAAAGGAAGAGACGTAGAAAGCAGATTCAAGAAAATAATGACAGAAAATTACCCAAATATGGAGAAAGGTGACAGCATGCAGGTAAAGAAAGTTCAGAGGTTGCCAATCAAATCAATCCAAAGAGGAACACCCCAAGGCACATCATAATCATTATTAAAAACCAAAGAGAAAGAAAGAATACTGAAAGGCAACAGAAAAAAAACACATAACATTCAATGGAGCCCCAAAATGTCTCTCAGCAGATTTCTCAGTAGAAACCCTACAGACCAGAAGAGAACAGGATGACATATTCAGGATACTAAAGGAAAAAGACTGTCAGTCAAGAATTCTCTATCTGGCAAAATTAACCTTCAAATATGAAGGAAAAATAAAGTCTTTCCCAGACAAAAAAAAAGCTAAGAGAACTCATCAACACTAGACCTGCCTTACAAGAAATGCCAAAGACAGTTCTACAATCGTGAAAGATGACACCAAGGAGTAGCAAGAAAACATTTGAAAATACACAACTTGTTAATAAAGCAAGTACACAGACAACCTCAGAATACTCCAGAGTTATAAGAGTGGTGAATAAAACATTTATTTTCTTAGTATTAAGACTAAAGGACAAATCTAACAAGACACTAACATACACAACAACCATATAAGAGATAGGCAATATTGAAAGATGTAATATGAAACAAGAAAATGTCAAAAAGTAGGGGGGAATGACGCCAAAGCATACAGGTAGCTTTGTTTTTTTCTTTTTTAGGTATCAAAGTTAAGTTGTTATTAGTCTGAAATATTTGATTATAACTATAACATGTTATTTATAAGCCAAACACTTATAAGAGATGTACTAAAAATAAATAGCAAGAAACGAAAATATACTGCTAGAGAAAACTACTTAACCACAAAGGAAGAAAGTAAGATGGTGAGGCATTATGTCCAAATGATCTGCACCCAGCCACTAGTTTAGAATTTCTGATTGCCCAATGCCAACCACAAGGGTTACAAAACTCTACTTAAGGAATATGTTATGTCTGACTTGAATAAACTTTTCATGCAATGTGGTGCTCAGAGTACCAAAAAAAGATAGAAGACCACAAAAAAAGATAATATAAACTGTTCTGTGCTATTACTAATGAACGTTTAATAAATATTGGTATGTGTGATATAATTTGTTCTGAGACTGGTCATTAACCTGGTAGTGAATGTCTCTGAGTACAACTTTTTGTACATTTCTCTTAGAACAAGAGAAATGTTTCACATATTCAGAAAATGAACAATTTAAACAAGGCTCAGAGTACCAAAAAAAGATAGAAGACCACAAAAAAAGATAATATAAACTGTTCTGTGCTGTTACTAATGAACGTTTAATAAATATTGGTATGTGTGATATAATTTGTTCTGAGACTGGTCGTTAACCTGGTAGTGAATGTCTCTGGGTACAACTTTTTGTACATTTCTCTTAGAACAAGAGAAATGTTTCACATATTCAGAAAATGAACAATTTAAACAAGGCAGAATGTGGGAAGAACCCAATCTGTATAATAACGAATGAACTACCTAACAGTACTATAAATAAACAACACAACCACAAACTGAAGAGAGATAGGAAGAAAATAATCAACCTAAGGTAACTTTGGAAAACAGTATTTTGACAGAATATTGTAAGACTAAAGACAAAAAGAACAATGTACAAATAATGTAATCTAGTTAATAAATTTGTTTCTTACAGGCATATAGGTTAGCAATTCTGAAACAACTTTATGTGTATACTAAGACTGAACAAATAAGTAAATCTACTGTAGATAATAAGAGTCAGAATTATCAGAGGGGGAGAAAGATATAAATAAGGAATGAGAAAAGCTAAAACAAACCCTCTGGTATTGGACTGGAATCAGAGGTATCAGTATGAACCCATGATTTTATACATAATATGTATTTTACACATATACACATACATATACACACACACACACACACACACACACACACAGAGATAGATACAGAAATGTAGATGTGGAAGCATGTGTGGGATAGTAAACAAATATGTTTCCTAGGTCTGCCTGCTGTGAGAATCTAGAATGAACAACAATGCATTAGCAATAAGCACACCTAGTACCTAGATCTTTGTTTCTAAACATCATTTTCCAATAAAAAGTACCACAGTCCTCAGAAAAATATTCAAAAAAGAATAGGGACAAGGCAAAAGGACACAGGAGCCAACCTCAAGGAACTCCCAATGGCCTAAACTGGAACAGTATGAACAACGACATAAATAATATTATTTTATAAACCTAGAATAAAATAAATATTTATGAGTCCCTACTGACATAATTTAATAAACAAGTAAATGGGAGAGAAGGTATAGCTCTTCATTACACAAGAATTTGAGTCTATAAATGTAGAAGAGAAGACAAGATTCACCAACGGATACTAATTTAGTGGATGAAAGTTTGACAAGAAACCGGATATTTGCATAACCGCAAAGTACCCTAAGATATGGGAAACAGTAACTTCATTAAGGAAAGAGCCAATAACACCACCAAGTGTTCAAAGTTAACACCACCAGCATTAACATAATATTATTATATTGTTATATATTGTTATATTATTACATTAACATATCAACGTATCAATGATATCAACATATCATAAACTCTCTAATATGATGTACTGAGAAGGGCACTACGTCACTTTGTTACTCTTGCCAAAAATATATAACCTCATTCTATTCACATTGAAGTTTTAGACAAACCCAAATTGAGGAATTATCTACAAAATAACAGTGACACTTTTGAAGTGACAGACAAGGAAATACTAGGAATCCAGCACAGAGTGAAGTAGATTAAGGAGACATGACCACTAAATGCGACGTTAGATCCTAGATTGGACCCTAAAACAGGTCATGATAGAAAAACTGGGGTAATGAGAAATTCTACAGTTTTGTATCTATGTTAATTCCCTATTGGTAACCATTATACTATGATTACATGAGGTGTTAATTTTAGGGTAAGCTGGGAGAAGGGGCACTGGAAATCTTTGTATTATTCTTGTAACTTTCTGTACAACTAAAATTACTTCAAACAAACAAAAGAAATCCAAAAACAAAAAAGACCCTGGTAGTGAGATTGTTTATGTGTGGGCAAGGAACAGGGTATCGGGGTACTCATCCACCTCAAACTTCAAAAAACTTCCCCAAATTTGTTCCTCCACCAATGTTCCTTGCCTAGTAAATGGCACCATTAATCCTCTAGTTGCTTGGCTCAAACATCTTGGATTCATCCTTTGAATCCTCTGTGTCTTCATCCTATGAGGTCTACCTTCAAAATACATCCCAAATCTAACAATTTCTGACCACCTCCAATCTACCCACCCTAGCCCAAATCTCCATCCTTAATCTGAAAGATAACAATAGTCTCCCAGCTAGGTTCCCTGCTCCTCCTGCTCCAGTTCCTCTCAAGACTATACTCCATACAGCTGCCATTTTATATTTTAAAATGTAGATCTCCACTAAAAACCCTCCAGTGATTTCTCATCTCACTATAAAATATAAAATCTTCATTCCATAGCTTACAAGAGCCTACATGATCTGGCACCTGCTTACCTTTCCAACTTTGCCTCTTACAAATCTTTCCCTTGCTTATTTTGATTGTGCTACACTGATCGGACTCTGAGACTCTGTAAACATGCCAGACATATTTCTGCCTTTGGGTTTCTAAACTTACTACGACCTCTACGTGTAAAGCTATTCCTCCATGGGTGCTTGGCTTATTCACTCATTTCAAGTTTCTCTAGTAAATTTTACCAAGGGAAAAGACATAGTTCATTAAATGTTTTAGCTAATTTTTATTTTGAGTGTTCAAACCTTCCAATCCTCTAGATGTTAAGATCCCAAATGTAACTTCAATTTATGGTAATGACATAGTTTTGATCTGATAATCACATCTTGAACACAGGTAGTGACAGTCAGCTTTGTGCCTCATGAATATGCATAATCAATATTTTTTAAAAATGAGACTTACAAAAAAAAAGATCCCAAATGTATTACTTCAATATCTAATAGCCAAATTATAATATTATTTCTTATGTGCCAATATATACATTTATACTTTATTTGGGGGGTTACTTGTAAGATACACATAAGCTGATTTTGTAAAATTGGTAATAGTTTTCCTATTTTAAATTATTATATTTATCATTGTATCTTAGAAACGCAACACTCAATAATCAACTGCTCTATGAGAATTTTACTATAATTTACGCTATAATTATGTTTTATATGTTTTCCAGAAAAAGAAAATTGTAATGCCAATTTAGGCTATCCGTAGAATTCAATCCCAGGTTCCTATACTTTAGAATTCTAAAATAAAATTACAATAACTCTGGAAGAAGTGATGGTTTTATTGATGTGTGCTGGGGAGAAGATTTGTGTCTTTTTTGTTTTAAAATATCTAAATAATTTAGAAATAAGTACTTATATGCTAGCCATGAATCTTCTTTTAATAAGTTAAAAAGATTTAAGTTCACCCACCTGATTATCATTATTTAAAAAGTCTTCAAGAACTCCTTCAGCATACTTTGCCCTTGAAGTTTGTTGAGGATTATCATCAGAGTTAACAGGAACAGGAGATTTGCTAAGCAGGATTTAAAGGATACAAAATAGTAATTAAGTTTCCAATATAAGTGATCATCAAGAAATAACCATGATATATATGCTTTTTATCAATGTGGCATGGTAATTCTACTTAAACTAATACCAGAATCCAACCCCTACTTATCTCCCTGCTTCTTCTTTCAAACTTCAAAGAAACTGAAGATATTAGTCCCCAACTTAAAAGAGATAAGCACTCAACTATAGACTATGCTCCAAAAGCTCATTTGATTGAAATAAGTAGCATAATTTTCCCATTAAACATTGTTAGTTACCCAATGATAATAAAAAACCCCATGAATTCATAAGAGTTTCTAATGGGATGGCAGTTACATGTTATCCTTCTTCAAGGCAACAATTTTGAAATTAAAATTCTGTAGTGCAAATCCCAGTCCTACCCACTATATGATCTTAGGTATAACTTATTTATCTGAACTTCATTTTCTACACTTGTAGTCCCACTTATCTCACTGAGGTGTTGTATAAATACACTGAATTAATTCTCGGCATACTTGGTATATTTAACAATGCTCAATAAATATTAATTTTTTTCCTGATGTTCAAGGGGTAGTAAAGGACATCCCTAGCATAAACAAGAATATTCCTCAAATCAAATTGTTAGTCACAGAAATAAATAAATTCATCCTATTTATCTCTTATTGATCACTATAACGTTTGTAACTCAAGTACTCCAATATCTAAGAAGCTTTTTATAACACTTAAATGTCACAATGCTATTTTTTTTCCTAATAAATGGTACTTACATATTGACATATTTGATTTGTAATCTGGTATGAGCTTTCTCTCACTCCCAGGTAGTCTTTTCCCCAACTCTTTACCAACATAGTTTGCACATCCACATTATACTATTCTACTTACGTATTTATTTGAAATTTTCCGTAATAAAAAGTTTTTTTAAAAAGCAATTACCTAGTTGTGGTTTTACCCTACCTTTTAGAATACTGCCTTGAATACTTCCTATTCAATTCTGTTTTTGATAGCAGGTTGACAATAATTTGTCAATCTCAAACTAAAGTCTATTCGTTCTTCTCATCAATCCATTGTAAGTTTTATCTACATACCTGTCACAATATAAATTCAATCTTCCAAAAATGAGCTATACAAGGTACTAGGCCAAACCATTGATAATATTAATTATACAAGCCAGAAGTTATATTATCTAATTACTAAAATAATTAAATGCATTCAAAAATTTTACTCTTAAACATCTGTCATTCATTTTGGTTCCAATTGAAAGCAAAATATTGCAGCTATGATACTTTGCTAGTACACAAACCAACTGATAAGAAAATAAGAAATTAGAAAATAAGAAGGATAACAGAAGTTAAACATCAACTGAGCTTGTTATTATCCCAGGTTGGGGGGAAGTGGGGGAAGGTACCAATGAAACAACTTGAGAAATGAGGCTAAAAGGAAAAAATAAAATATTCTGGATAATCATCACCACTACAACTTACAACAGATCTCACCCTAAGTCAGAAACTGCCTTAAGTACTTCATATTCATTTTCTAATCAATTGAATCCTCACAACCCTGAAATAGATTTTATTTCTCCATCTTTAACATTTAGAGAAGTAACTTGTACAAGGTCTCATAGCAAGAAAGTGGCAGAGACGGCATTCCAAACTGGCATTACAGTCAGCAAATACATTCAAAAATAAGGTATTCAACTGAGAAACAATCAATAAAGAAGACAGGAAGTGATAGACTGTCTATAACAGAATGAAAGGGTTAGACAACTGATGATAATAAATTACCAGAACCTAAGGCATGATATAGGGTTACCAGGAATGCACTGTTGATAAGCCCAAATGTAATAATATCACTAAAAATAAAAACTTTCCCATATAAACTTCCAATTCTAATTCCACATTCACATTCTCGGGTATCTAGGTATACTTTTTAAATTATTCTGAGACACTATATCACAGAAAAGTTAAGCACACAAATAATGTTAGGAACTATAAGAATTTATACAATAGGACGCAAAAGAAAATGCATCATCATTTAAGGAAAATAATGACTAAAAAAGAAAGTAAAATATAAACGAAAAGAAAAGGATAGCTTTAATATATGAAGAAGGGGAAATGCTTAAAGTAAAAAGAAAGTAACAAGTACTTCATAACACTTCCATCTGCAAAATAATTGTTTTTGGTTATAATCAATCCCTCATATTAAGACATATATCAAAATTTTATAGTGAAACAAAATGAACATGTGATAAAGACTATATACCTAAGATTATGAAATGTTACACCATCTTGTGGTAACAAATAAAAAATGCAACTTAAAGCAAACAACACTGAAAGCTATATTCTACAGAATTACAATGTTATTAGCATTGTTTAATTAGCATTGTTATCTAAAAAATAAATGAGATGTTCACATGACATTTTCATTTGAACACCTAAACAGTTTTTCCAGTCACTTACTTACAAAGTAACAGGAATATTTTCCCATGATCTTTCTGCTTCAAGTTTATCTAATGAGCAAGGACTATCATCCTTTTTCATAGACCTTGGTAATTCTTCTGTACACTGCTCTAGATTTTTCTTGGCCTTCAGGATAAGCAATTCAATTTTGTCACCTAATTTTAAAAGATTACATTAATTCTTTAACACAAAATGCAAAGCACAACAAAATCACACAGTCAACAAGAATTCAGATAATTTGGAATATCCACACATCTAGAACAGCAAATTATGTTAAAATGTGACATTTTAAGCAAAAAAAAAAACAGGGAATGGGAAAAGATATTTTCTAGTTACGTCACCTAATTTTAAAAGATTACATTAATTCTTTAACACAAAATGCAAAGCACAACAAAATCGCACAGTCAACAAGAATTCAGATAATTTGGAATATCCACACATCTAGAACAGCAAATTATGTTAAAATGTGACATTTTAAGCAAAAAAAAAACAGGGAATGGGAAAAGATATTTTCTAGTTATAAAATGCTACATAAATGAAGATCATAGGCATTCTAAAAAGACATTATATCAAAAATAGAAAGCTCCTAGGTATTAGGTCAAATTTACAGCACTTTCTTTGGCTTAAAAAAAACAAAAAACAAAATAAAAAAAAGTATTACCACTGAATGGCTTTTTGGATTGTCCTGGGAGAAGTGGATTCTCACACTGACATTGGTTATGTTCAGAATCACATTTGTATTCATTAACTAATCCTTTATCATCACTCAAGGAATGTGAAAAGTTTGAGGGTTCAAAAGAATATTCAAAACAACCTAATTTATTCATAAGCCGAGAAGTTCTTTGTGCCTGATAACTATGTCTAGGGGAACACTGATCTTCTACATAAACCCTTTGACTATTTGCATCAGGTAGCAAGTCTTGATTGTGGAGCCAGACTGGGTATTTGAAATCAGGTATACTAGTTATCCCTGAAACATTAAGGTCAGATTTCTGGCTAGTGAGCCATCTTGGATAATTCTTTTCAAGATTGTGTTCTGCATTGTCCTCAAAAGACGATTTCTTGGGAAAAGATAAAGATGATTCAGAAATGCATTTATTAGTCCTATTCTTAAGTTTTGGGTTTTTTAGCCTACCCCGTTGCTTTCCATTTATATGTGTGTATACAACAGGAGTAGCCAAGTTATCCTTGCCCCTGGGAGTGAAGGGTTCTTGAAATTTTGAGTTCTTTTCAATGTCCAATGGACCCAGTCTTTGAACACATTTCTTGTTTTTCCTGCTCGTTCGGTGACCTTGTCCAATATAAGTGAAAGGAAATGATCCATCGGCTGGAAGTTTTAACAGATCATCAGTTGTTAAGCTAATGGAGTCTGTGTCATTAATAGTCAGTCTTCTATAGGATAAGGAGTTTGAATGCTTTTTGTAATCAAGATTTTCAAAAGCTGAAAAACAAAGCATAGTTCTGTTTATCTTCTTTTAACACATATACTTTATAATATTCAATAGTAAATACTTTATAATATTCAACAGTAAATGAGAATTAAAAATTTAAGAACCATCTTTGCTGCTTTCCCCTTATCCCCACTAAGTCTTTGATTAAAAGTATAAAAGGTACAGCTTGATAAATTAGGATGTGTTTTCTCTCTCACATTTCTTCAATCTGTTTTACTTAATTTCTACGTTTCTCTCCAACCTCCTGAATTTTCCTGTGTTCTCTAATTTACTGTTTCTTCAACTTTTTTCATCTAGACATACCAGATACACTAATACAATCACCTTAACATTGATCACTGAACACTAACTGCAACAAAGAAAAAAAAATGCTGTTAAACTAGGTGGAAAATAATTTGCTTTCTCGCCTACTAACCCAGCAATGGGCATGGTTACACACAGAGAACAGTTGTTCTAATTCTCTTCTTGTAGACTATATTGCCCACATCCCTCTAAGAGTTCAATGTAAATGTTTTCCATTCTAAGGCCATTCTCTAAGTGCTCAGTAAAGTGTCACCTGGCTTATAACAACTATATTTTCCAAACTTGTCCTCATGGAAGCCTTATCAAGGACAAACTCTTAACATCTTGTGAACGTTATTGTTCTACAGAATACAGATCAGAAAGACTAATATAGTCCTATCCCATCAACTGGGATTGAGCAAACAAACCCAGAAAGGTTGAGATATGCTTAAAGTCATTAAGCTAGTTATGAAAGTTAGAACCACGTCAATGCTCTTTCCATGATACTACAGAAAAATGGCTTAAAGGTTTAGGATCAGCCACCTGCTATAATTAGTTACATTCATCAGCTTCCTCTCCAAGATCAAAAGAGGATCTTAGCTGAAAATTCCTAGGAACTAGAGAATTATACAACCATTTTACACAAACATCCAGATCTCAATATTATAAAAGTTATTTTTATTCCAAAAAAAAAAAAAAGGCAAGATTTACAAGGCTAGAGCACATCTCTCAAATGCTTCAAATCACTGGACATGAAGAAAACAAAGAATAAAAACATACCATTGTTTGGCTTATAAATACAGTTGGAGAACTGTGGCATATTAGTGGAACCTTCATCAGTGTTAATTTTTCCAGTGCTTACACCAGGATGTACTCGGCTTAGATCAAAATCATCAATATAGGCCTGTAGAGCCTGAGATGCAGAACTGTACAATTTATCCTTATAGTGAAAAGAGCCATCAGAGTTAGAGGAATTACTACCATTCAGGCTGCAGCTTGCTAGCAGAGAAGACACTGAAGATTCCCGAGAACAAACTCTGTATTTTGTGTTTGATTTTGCCATGGCTTCCTCAAAATGGGTTATTTCTATTCATTTCTCTTAAAAACAACTGTAATACAAAAACAAAAGGTTAAGGTACCAATTTAAAGGAATAGTGACCAAATGCAGAAAAAATTACTAAATATATAAACTTCTTATAATTTAAAGAATAAAATCCATTATCTATAATAGACACTCATTTATAGGCACTGTAGATTTTCCATTATCTTTATTATTGTGAATCCCTTCATCAATGATTGAGAAAACATTTACTGAGTGCCTACTATGTGCCTGGAAGCATGCATACAAAAATTATCTGAGAATATACATGGAAAGTACAAAGGAAAAAGTACTCACTTTTTTTAAAGTCCTAAACACTACTGATACAGTCTTTTTTTCTTATGGTGATATATTCTATGACATCACAATTACATAACATTCCCCTATACAAAACATTTTTAAAATCATAAGCCTACCGCTGTGCACTGCAGATAGTAGGTACTCAATAAAATTTTTAAAGTCATCAAATAAGTATTAGAAACAAGGAACAATGGAGAAGATCCACTTTCATGTTGTGAATGTTGCCAATATGTAACTTTAGCCAACCCTTTCCCCCCAAAAAGATTTGAGAATAAAGTAATTTACAATATTTATCTGTAAAGAAACAAACTAAAAGTCTTACTAAAGAATGAGCTAGCTATATCCCTTTTTTATTCAACATTGTTAATAATCATTTCCTGACCTTTATTTTCGGTAATATCTTATTTTCAACTCTTACATTAAACAGATTCAGCTCACCTCTCTTTAAAAGGAAGCTTAAATAATTTGTAAATTGACTTAATGTATTCCATTATTAAAATTGAGAGAATTCCTGTGTACCATAGCACAGCAATAATAGAATCTACATTTGAAAACTTGAGAAATAACATAATGAACCGGCACTAATTTAGTACATGATACGACAGTCACTCAAAATTAAATCAACGGATGTTTGTTTATTTTGCAGCCAAAAGAAGAGCATCGATGGATACAAAATTAAATCAATGGATTAATGTCTGGGACTTAACACCTGCTATTGTGCTGTAATGTCTAATTTTTGGCCATAGCTTCGTAAATATTTGTTGTAACAACTGTAATCTCAATAATTGTCAACTATGACTTTAAAATATTGAAAGTTTTCTAACTAAAGAGAGTAAAACGTTCATCCTGTCACAGCCTTGGAGCATGCACGACCGGCCTAATTATAGGATATCTGACAGTGAACGGTGGAAGCAGCAGCAGAACAGAATGGTTATTTAGCCTCTTCGATTGCCTTGAATGCTGTGACGGTGGTATATCTCTAAAGAATGGCTTTGACTAAGTCAGCTTTGTGCTTTATCCCTTCTACTAAAGAAATTTAAATTCTCTCAATTTGCTTGGATAAGCTTAACCGAACATTTTCTCCCTTATTTGAACACAGAACAGGTAACCGATTTTAGTTTACAAAACTTTAAAAAACAAAGACAAATCTTGAAAGGGAAAGCTGTTGGCTTACCGCTCTCAGTAAATGGGGTTTTTTTTTACTAATTCTTTCACTATTTTTTTTTACATTTACTAATTATTTAATTTACAGGACTGACAAAAAAGATAATACACAATTTAACTTTTATTCTGGAGAGTTTTCAAATGTATACAAAAGTAGAATAGTTTAATACACCCCTACTCACCCATCATCCTACTTCCAACAATGATCAACACACCCCAACTTTTTACCCATACCCCCACCCACTTCTCCCCATCCAGCCACAGGAGTGAGTCTCATCTATCTTAAGCAAATCCCGTATATCTTACCATTTCCTCCGTAAACGCTTGAGTTCGAATCTCCAAAAGAAAATTCATCATGTGGAAGAATAGAATGTTAAGCTTAATGGCAAGAAATTTCAACTCCCTTCGATCCAAAAATAGAATGTGCAGTGTTAACCAATGGGAATATCGCACAGAAAATGAAAAACAACTCTTGGAAATCACAGCTCTGTGATTTCTAAGTTTGGAAAGTGAATGTTTATTTTGCCGCAGAAGGACGAGAGTCGATGGCGCTGCTAAGCGAAGGTGGCCGGCGCCCCTGCTCTGCGCCTCTCTCCCCCACCCCGGGCGCGCCGGGTCCACACATTTCCTCCTCGACTTGGGCAACAGCCGCCCTTCGGGGTCCCACCGCCCACGTCAGTCACACCCGCCCGCGTCAGTCACAGACAAAGAGTCTTCCGTGAGCTACTTTTCCCTCCGAAACCATTTATTCTGCAGCAAGTCCCCAGAGGCCCACGTCAGGTCCCCTCCGCCCCGTCCCGGGATGCTCCCCCGCCCGGGGGGCACTCCCCCTAAAGCGTTCTTTCCACAGAGTCTCACCTCGCGTCTTCCCTGAGGAGACGTCTTCCTCTTCCCTCCTCGCCACACCTCCTTTTAGCCTTTCCCTCGGGCTGTCAAAGGACGGGACGCCCCTCGAAAATACGCCCTCATTTCCGGCCTAACTCACCCACTGAGACCCGAAAAGAGAGAAATACGCACATTTCCGCAACTCCCCACAGAAAGCCCAGGCCTGTTACCGGACCGGAGACGCCGCAAAGCATCCCCCACACGGACAAGGCCCCGCCTCAGGCGCCCCTTGCTCGCAGCTCCTCAGCCATCACGGCCGAGCGCAACGCCCGCGCTCGCTTTCAAACCGACCCAACATGGCGCCGGCCCGCGGTGCGCCTGCGCGGTGCCGTGGCGCGTGGGGTGCGCCGAGGCGGGGAGCTGGCAGGGGAAAAGGGGGCGCTGCGGGACGTTAGGTCGCGACCCCCGCTGGGAGGTGTAGTTTCTCACTCGTCTTCTTTCTGGGGTTGGGAGAGGGCGGTTCCGGACTACATCCAAGTCGATGCCCACCCCCCCGTCTCCGTCACCGCTGTTCTTGGCCAGTCCGAGCAGGGAACAGGCTGACCGTCCTTCGGCCGGCCCCCGGGACTGTGGGAGGGGACCGGGAGGAGAGGGCGCTGTGGGAGCGCTGCCGGCCGCCCTTCTGCAGCTGAGAGCCAGCCACACAGCCCGTCCTCCCAAGTGAGCTCGGCTTCCCCGCTTTCAGAGCATCCCTTCTCCAGGAGAGACAGCATTTCAGCCAGGAGGCAGCTCCCCCCACAACTTCTTTCCCCCTCCTCAGTGCCTTCCCCATCCCACTGGGGTCCCCGGCCCTCCTGGGCTCAGCCAGCCCCTCATACACAAAGCAGACGTGGGACTGGAGAAGGGAATCTGGCCAGGGATGGGATTTAACAAACTCCTTGGGGACCTTGATTCCCAGGGAAGAATGGCAGTGACCCAGCACGAATTGGGGACCCAGTCAGGCAGCCCAAAAAGAAGGAGATTATACAAACAGATGTAAAGACCCATTAACAACATGTGTGAACCTGTCTACAAGGCTGGGACAGGATATGAGTTGCGAAGAATCCAGTTTCAACCAAGCAGTCTATCAAAAAACGTTGCCATCTCAGCACTGGTTTGTGTTTATATTCTACTAACCCTATGTGGACAGGATATGAGTTGCGAAGAATCCAGTTTCAACCAAGCAGTCTATCAAAAAACGTTGCCGTCTCAGCACTGGTTTGTGTTTATATTCTACTAACCCTATGGGTGAAGATATCCTTGACCATTACTCTGTCTAAATATGTCCCAGTTCATCCGATGCCACATCACCAAGTAGTACAATTGTAGTCTTGCTGTTTGCTCTTTCTTCTTTTCTCCTTCTCTAGCCTACTGAACTTTATCTTCCCTTTTCTCTTAGCAAATGAAAAAGTCCAGAAGCTACAAAATTCAGTGGCCAATTTAGTGGTTCAATTAAACACATGTCTATTGTGACAGTAAATATTAGTGATTTTAAAGTGACACAGTCCCTGCAGGAGTTTACAGCTGGTGGTATGTTCTAAAAATCTGCAAAATTTCTAGATCAGTATCAAGTAGGTTGCTGATAAGCCCAGATCAGAGACCAGCCAAGGATTATTAATGGTGTGAGCTTTAAAAGTTAGACATTTTTAAATCTACATTCCACCTGTCTTTTTAACTTGTCCTTCTTTTAAATAATTTTTTAAAGTTTTTTTTTCATAAGTAGTATCTTTAAGGTTTCTCATGCTACCTTTTCTTCCATCTTGTGGCATATATAGCAAATATTTTCTAATGAAGACAAAGTGTAAATAAAGGACACTGAGAAGATGTAAATGAAATTATCAAATATATTGACCTAATTCATGGATCAAAATAATTCTACTTATGCTTTGTTCCTTCACAGGTTAAGAAATGTGGAGATTTCTACCAGGTTTTGGAGAAGGGTCCCAATAGTTATTAAAATTCTGGACTAGATCCGTTAGGAAAGGTAAAGAAAACAGACTCTACCAAAGCTTTTCAAATATAGAACATATCAACTAGCTGTTGTGCCTTGCTGGAGAACTAAACAAGAAAGAATAGATGTATGATCCAACCTAAAGAGATTTAAGTGAGAGCTAAGGAAGAAATGTTCCAATAATTAAACTTTAAGAAGTTTTATTGAGGTGCTTAAGGAGGTGGCTCTTTAGAGAGTTTTTTAAATGATGGATTGAAATGTGTCCATTTTAAGAAAAGAAACTAACCTTTTTGATCACCTAGAGCAGGACCCCACATTGTTTCAAGCACTCTTACATATATTAACTCAATTTAATAACAACTCCATGAGATAGGTGTTATTATCCCCATTCTACAGATATGGTAATTGAAGTTCCAAGATTAAGCAGTTTACCCAAAATAATACAGCTGGTGGTGAATAGCTAAGTCAGGATTTGAATCCAGCTCTGTGTTTTTAAGTTCTTTCCACCATACCTGCTAGCTTCCCCTAAGTAAAGACTGGATGATGGACAAAAGGTCCAGAGCTACAGCTCTGAACTACAGTTCAGAGACTACAGCTTCCTGAACTCATTCACAGCAGAAACAGTATCTTACTCAACTGCCTTTGCTACACCTACCACAGTACCTGTCTCAATCCCTTCACACTGCTATAACAAATTCCCATAGACTGGGTGGCTTAAACAATAGAAATTTATTTCTCACAGTTTTAGAGGCTAGAAGTCTGAGATCAGGGTGCCAGCATGGTTGGGATCTGGTGAAGGACTTCTTCCAGGTTGCAGACTGCTGACTTCCGGCTGTGTTCTCATGTGGCAGAAGGGGCAAATAAGATCTCTGGGGTCTCTTTTAAAGGCACTGATCCTGTTCACGAGGGCACTAATCGCCTTCGAAAGGCTCCACCTTCTAATATCAGTAACGTTGGGGTTAGGATTTCAACATACGAGTTTGGTGGAGGGACATAAACATTCAGTCCATTGCAGTACTAAACTTCGAGTGGGGGTTCAGTAGATGTCTTTAAATTGAATTGATTTAACTTGATCCTGTCTGAGGAGGTGACATTTAAGCAAAGATGAAGTGGAGTCAGTCCAAGCAGAGGGAACAGCAAGTACCAAGACCCTGAGGTAGGAAGTTGCTCGGTTATATTTGAGGAACAGCCAGGAGGTCAATAAGATTGGAGCTAAGTAGATAAGAAGATGGTAGATGTGTTCAAAGAGGAAACCAACTGTCAGATCATGTAGTGTCACTGCCACTCATTTTAAAAAGATTAATTCCAAAGAATACATGATCAGCAGATTGTGATGCTTTAGAAGAGAGGCTGTTGTGAGGATTAATATATAAACCAGGTAAAAAAAACAGGAGACTGAAGGAAGTAGGAGAGATGGGGCAGTATCTGCCAGTATAGCAGGTATGGAGAGGGGAACAAGCTGGAGAACCATGATGACGATTTCTTATTGGGGACAGACAGCTGGATAGACAGACTCTTTTCATGGGGCAGTATCTGCCAGTATAGCAGGTATGGAGAGGGGAACAAGCTGGAGAACCATGATGACAATTTCTTATTGGGGACAGACAGCTGGATAGACAGACTCTTTTCATTGTGTGTGTGTGTGTGTGTGTGTGTGTGTGTGTGCAATTTTCAAAGTGGCAAATATTTCAGTTTACAGATG